TCTCTCCCTCTCTCTCTCTCTCTCTCTCCCTCCCTCTCCCCAGCCGTTGTGTTATTATTCTATTTTAACCTCAACAGTAAGAAACTCAAGCTCTATGTATGCAGGGGCCAGGCGTGACGTAGAAAGACTGCATTCCACAACAACAGAAAATATTGTCAAACTGGCAAGCTCAGGTTTCAGCAAGCGGCTGTCAGTGTGGCAGATCACACAACTTGGATACATTCTTAATATGAGCCAGTGTGAAAAAAAAATGGTGAAATGGTGTAGCTTTATTAAAAACCAGTCTATTTCCATGAAAAATAAGTGCGGTATTAATTACGTAAGGCATGACAACAAAATCAAATATGGCTGCTGTACCTATAGAAACGAAACTTTTTTCTCAAATTTGATTGCGGATTTTAAGACTTCTTACTATGTTTGTTATATGTGTGCAATTTGGTAACATTTGATCCTCTAATAAGCGAGATAGCCTTCAGCTGTAGCCCCCCCCCCCTTCCCCCATACCCCTTAACGCCCCTATCAACACTATTAGGTTATTCAAGAGGCAGGACCTCTGAGTTTAATTTCTATCTCCTAAAGGACTGCACCAAACGGGAAATTCGCGAACAGTCCCTTTCCCAAGGACACAACGTCAGACCGAGCTTACGCTCGAACCCCCAGAACCCGCAATCTCACGATAACAAGCCCGGTAGCCTAACCACTAGACCACCGTGCCACTTGTGCCAGTGTGGATGGAAGACATTACTGCTATGTAGTTGTAAGTTCATGTTTGTAATGTAGATGTTTTACATCACAGTCAACACTATTTAGGAGGCACGCTTTCTTCACCTTGCCTGCCAGGGCCAACCCGGGTTGAGATGGATACAACGTTTCAGCAGAAAGGTCAAGATACTCGATAAAAAATCTTCCCATACTGGAATCGAACTTCGTTCTTTCCGCGCGACGGCAAAGCGCCTAACCGCTACACCATAGACACCGTAACCACAAGTTGTGAACTACGTGTATCACAGTGTATTGTTAGATTTCCACATTCATAGGAGTATCTCAAACGTCCTATTGATGCTTTTTTACTGTTAC